TTCTGTAAGCCTTCACCTGAAGTACAATAAAATATTAAAAAAAAAATATAGTGTAGGATTTATGCAAAATGAATAAGGTCTGTGCTAAATAATTCATGGTCATGCTAAAACACGGCTAATACAAAACTATCAAAAAATCCCTCCTACTCATTTTCATCATTAGTTTCATGATCTTTTCTACCAAATCTTTAAACAGACCCGCTAAATGGACCTGAGTTTCAACTTTCCTTCCCCTACCCATTCTTTTGTTATTGAGCTGTCACAGGTGGGAAGAAAAGAACCAATTACAATTAAGAATTAGCTTTAGGGTCAGCTCTCAATGGTCTGCATTAGTAAGCTAGACTGTTGGCATACAATAAAAAAAATGACTCATTCAACTGATTCTAGGGGCTAGGCAGAGACCTTCACTTGAGAGACTTTCCCAAAGGGAATGGCCAATGATGTCAAATCAAGGGAAGAGCACAACTGGCACAGAAACCCCGTAATCACCCCTTCCTTCTTCACTACGTCCCACCCTTTAGTGCCTTTCAGTCAGCTAGCAGGGAGTCAACCTAGGTAGAGAAAAGCACTCTTAATCAGGGTGGTTCCTAAGGTGGGGTGATGTTCAAATGTTAAAGTTAATCAGAGGTTATTACTATTTTGAATAGAAATAAATTCTAATTAGGTGGAGATAATTACGATTTATCTGATAATTATTCATCCTTCAGATTTCCTAATCAAGAGTTTTTGTTCTATGCTACAAGATAAAGCTCTCCTTGTTGATTCCAAACTTTCTTCACTTGTTCTTTGAAAGCAGCTTCTTAACACTTTTTGAAACTTTTTCATGTTCAAAGCATTTCTAATACATGATCATGAATAGTTTTGGGAGGCCGGCTGACTAAATAATGCCTATTTTATAGTTGTCCAAACTGGGGCTTAGAGAGGTTAAATAATTTGCCTAGCTTCACAGGAGAGGTATTGGGACATGAACCAGGTCAGAGACGCAGCCCTGTGCTTCTGCTCAGGAGCTCCTTCTGTGTTTTCTCTGGCTAGGTCACCAGCCCAGCAGGAACAGCAGCAGTCACAGATGCGATGGGACTTTCCTTCACCAGAGCTGGCCTGACCTTTCTAACACCCCCAGGAAGCTATTCTAGGCTCTGACAGGTCATCCTTGTTTCCTTGGTTTAGACTGGCCTTTTAGGATGAGTAAGAAAGGAGACACCCTATTTTTAATGATTACTATTTATAGTAAGGTTTTTAAGTTACTTTTAAAGAAATAAAGGGAGAAGTATGCTAACTCATAACATCTTAAATATTGTGTGCCCTTAAAATCTAATGTATAAAAATAAACCCATCTATTTGGGTTTATCAAGTGGCATGATAATACAATTTAATACCAGATATTATGTGCTTATTAGCCTTATATCATTTAATTCTCACTACCACCCCTATGAGGTCAGGACTATTATTCACTCATTAATTCTTTCTAGTATTATATGCTAGGCACTGTGCCACTGGTTCAGTGCTGAGACATGGTACAGGCATGGCCCCTGCACTCATGGAACATATATAGTCCAGTGGGGGAGACAACCAATCAACAAATAATTACACAAATGAAGAACTGCAATTGTGGCAAGTGCTATGAAGATGAAGTATACAATGTCAGTTATAAGAGGGTATAACAGAGGATTATAACCAGTCAGAATGACTGGGACGACTATCATAAACCTGAGAGGAGCTAAGCAGATGAAGGGGTGGGGGTGAGGGCCGAGTATAGCAGAGGGAACAGCATGTGGAAAGGCTTTCTAGTGGGATGCGGCCTGGCATGCTTAAGGACTGAAAAGGAAGGTCAAGGTGGCCAGAATGCAGATAAAAACCAAAAACTAAACCCGCTGCCATCAAACTTGGTTCTGACTCACAGCGATCCTACAGGACAGAGTAGAACTGCCCCATAGGGTTTCCAAGGCTGTAATCTTTGCGGAAGCAGACTGCCACATCTTTTGCCCGCAGAGCAGCTAGTGAGTTCGAACCGAGTTCTTTAATTACTATGCCACCGGAGCTCCTATAATTCAGACAGTGAAAAGTATATAAGCTTATGCTTGGAATTTGTCTTTATCTTAAGAGCAAAAGGAGGCTACTGAAGGGTTAAGGGATAGGCTGGCTGCCATATAAATAATGGATTGAGGCAAAAACTGAATAAATTTGGGGAGATCCAATTAGGTGACTTCGACTCCCTCCACAGACTAGGGAGAAATGAAGGTAGTACAGACTGGAGGGGTGGCAGTGGAGAAGAGAACAGGCATGAGTGGAGAGATCTTTACTAAATCAACAGGACTTGGTAAGGGATCAGATTGGCACAGGGACTGGGAAGGGGAGGGGGAATGAGAAGGATATGTTAAGAATGCCTCCCACAGTTCTGGCTTGCTGAACTGGATGCCATTCACAGTGACATTGAGAAATGAAATAGGACAGGTTTGGAAGTAGAGAAAGACTGTGAGTTTGGTCGGTCTTAGACATGTTCAGTTTAAAACGCCTTTGAGACATACAAATGGGAAACTCAAAAGATCAGCTGTATACAGAGTTCAGAGCTTGGACAAGCAATCTAGATTGGAGATATAAACCTGTTACATCAGCTGTATATGAATTAAAATTAAAAATAGTGGGCACAGAGAAAACCAATTAGTAGGGAGTGGGTCATGACTCGACAGCAATGGGTTTGGTTTTTTTTTTATGGAGTGAGGACAGTGCAGCCTAGAATTGAACCCTGAGGAACACTTAATGATTGGCTAAAAGAGGAAAATGGGGCTCCAAGAGGTTAAGTTACTTACTCAAGCACACATAAAGAGTAAGTAGAAGAATAAAAACTAAAAAAAAAAAAAAAAACTGAACCCAAGTCTGGCTGACTGGAGCCCAAACTTGCAACCATTATTACGCTCTTCTGGCTTCTTAATCTATATTTGGATTAAAAGCATCACTTTGGGTCTGAAGGAGGTTTACAACTACAACTTAAATCACCTATGTTTTCCAAGAATTACTGACGTCCCATTAAAATACACAAGAGCTAGACTAATGCTGTTTGGAAGATTGCGAAGCATGGTATCTTCAAATGTTTCCTTATAGAAAGGTGGTAAGGAATCACTGCACTGTAGAAGTTGAAATGCAATCTCAGAAATTTCCTCTTGCCGAGGAATGGTTTAGAGAGATCAAGTAATAGCAGTTATAATGCTACTTCTTAAAATGGGGTGCAGGAAGTAATCCTGAGGTGAGTAGCAAGGAGCCAAGGAATACTTGAAAAATGAAAAAGATGTTGCACCTTCTGGAGAAATTTTTATTTGGTGGTTTTGGGAAACATTTTTTTTGACATTAAAAACAAACACTGATACTCTGAATAGAATGCAAACTTTGAGTTCATTTTAAAGACAAGCTGTAAGTCCAAAAAATTTTAGGCTTGTGGTAACCCCTGACCCTAGTTCTAGGAGAGTACTCCTCATTTGCTTTCTTCTCTTATCAGGGATACTTTGGAGGAAAAGGTTGAGATGTACTGTTAGTATGTACTGCATGATCAGTATGTACTGCATGATGGATCACCTACTAACTCCACACAAGGACTCAAAAAGAGGTCAGCTTATCAAGGGAATATCCTGTGATTTTTAGTCATTCAAGAAGTACGACTACAGAGGAGGTCAGATGGTCTTGATAAAATGAACATGAAGCGAATACTGCCAATTTACTAAAGTTTCCAATGTACTTTTGAATGACATCATTCACTTGCCTACACTTAACTGATAGAAATGTAAAAACACACAAAACACTGCTTAGAGGGATGACTAGTAGCATTTCATAAAATATTTTCATTTCTGTGTAAGAAATCTACATGAATTCCAAAAACCAACTTTTAAAAAACACACTCATGACTTACCTTTCCAAAAGATCCCTGCCCTAATACTTTTAAAAGTTCAAACTGAGAAGGATCTGCCTTTTCATGTCCTTCCTTTACATGATGCGTGATTGCAATTTCTTTGATGCTGCCTTCTTCCTGTTTAGTCAAATACAAGAGAACATCCAGTGAGAGTTACTTTCTCCTGCTAGAAATTAAGTAATATTAATTTAGCATATCATATTAGAAACCCTCTAATTAACATTCACAAACCACCCTTTGTTGACCTACCAAATAAACAGAAAACACACCAAGCAAATATACTTTGAAGTTAAATGTCCAACATAGAGTAATGCCAACCCATCATGTAGGCCAATTTAATTAGATATGAACATTTCCAAGTCTCCATTCTCCCTACTGGAGATAATCAGAATTAATAGTTTCATGGAGAGGGGGTGGAGTGTATAAAAAAGTCTGAAAACAACAGACTAGAGAATTCTGCTGTGATCTGACATGCGGTTGTACTAGGTAGAACCAATGCTATAGATATATACATGTATGTGTATATATATGTATATATACATACATATATATATATATATATTTTTTTTTTTTAAAAAAGAACCCTGTTTATTGTGGAGAGCAGTGCAGTTGAAAATATTCCAGGGTAAATGTGGAGATTTCTGCCCTCAGCATGGTCATTTCAGTAAGTACACTTTAAGTTTTTTTTTCCTGTTTGAAATATCTAAGTTACTTTCTGTTTCTAGGACTACCTGGGATGTGAGAGTAGAGAAAGGAACAACTCTAAAACACAAAGTCAGAAAAGATTTAACATTGGGTGGAGGATGAGACACAGAAAAAAATGACTATTCACCACAATGGAACAGTGAAGGGTCTTGGGGTTAAGAAAAGCAGTTTTAAAGACAGGGAATATGTCAGCATATCTGAGGGAAGGTGTCAGCAGAAAGAGAAAGGTTGATGATAATAAATATGCATAAGGATTTCAATTACTTATTCATCCTGTGAACCGCACAGAAAGTATATCTTATTTAACAAGGCACTTGATTATATAGCCAAAAACTACAAGAAAAACAAAATCCAAGAAAACAAAAAACCTAAGGCTGTCCAAAAGAGACTGCCATTTCTATTTTGCTGAATATAATGCCATTTCATTTCTTCTAGATGCGTACGTACTATTAGTATAATCTGTTATATTAAAACAACTCATTATTGTTATTGCTATTGTATATAAACGTTTGAGCTCAATTAACATTTTCTGAGATACTCACAGAATGTTGGCAACATAGGGAATTAGAAAGATTTCTAAAAAAAAAAAAAAATACCAGGATATCCTAATGTGGAAGCTTTTGAAAATTAGTAGTACAAGGACAAAAAGCCCCCATAAGAAGAAAACAAGGAATTCAGGCCCATCATTTTACAACCTGAGACAGTGGCTGTAGTTTGTACTACTACTTAGGCAGCTCAACCATTTTGGACTCTCTTGGGACATTGGCAACAATAATAAATAATCCCCTAATATTTTATTTAGTCCTATATTTTGTAATTTCACATGCATTATCTCCTGTAATTTCCACAACCATCCTGTGCGGTAGGTATTAGGGTAGAATCAAATATTAGCGGACTCTAAAATCTACCTCCTTCCTGAGCACCCCTTCTCCCCAAATGTACAAGGGCATGAGGAATGACAGCTGTTAGTAGCTACAATAGGAAAGGCAGGAAGCAAATGACCAAATTCTTTCTTTCTTTTTAACTTTTCAAATAACAAGGTATATGTAGGATTTCCCAAGTAAGATTCAGATCCAGCAAATATTTATGAAGCATCCACCATGAATCAAGCCTGTGTTAGGTGCCTTCTTCATCCTTTCTCTTATATTTAAGCTTCACAACAAAATCTTTGGCCACATACTAAGGTTAGAGAGGGTGACAGTAACACAGAGTGGAGTAAACTCTACAGCAAGCCATAACCTTTCAGAATTCTCTCTGTACTCCCCCATTCACCACTAGAAATTTGACAGATCTCTTAAATGCAAAATAGTTTGAATATTCTACATTTTGAAGTTTAAAGAGATTAAGTGACTCCTAAAGATCACAAGTCAGTAACTCCAGGTCTTCTGACTTTGACAACAAAGCTCTTACCAATGTACCCCACTGAGACTGTTAGGGACTGTTGGTGATTTCCCATCTAAGATCAATGGACAGAACATAGACTTATACCTCTGGGCTTTGTAATTGGTCTGTGTCTTGGGTCAGTTAGCTCAGCTGGTTAAAGCAGTTGTCTCTGAACTTTTGGTAGTACATCTTTATCAGTAAAAAAAAAATTTTTTTAGAACGCACTACACAGTTATATAGTTATTGGTTTATAAATTATACACACATAGTTTTGTGCTACTGAATTATACACATTATACATGGAAATGAAATTTCATAAAGAAGTTCTTATCTTTCTTTTCTGTACCCCAAAATATTGACTAGTGGATTACAGGCTTGAACTCATAAAGCCAAATTGATGGGTTTGATTTCAGCATGTGCCAGTTAGCCTCCTATGGAGAAAACTACCTTTTCAAGAGTCTACCTGGAATCTAGCAACCATTAAATCATGAGGTTGTGAAGAGCTATACTTTGTAACATTCTACACCTTTTACAACTTTTCTTGGGTGAGAATGTGATTTTACAGGCTACAGTATTTTTTTTTTATCTTATATTTAGTAACACATACATACTACACTTACCCATCACAAATAAAAATGCAACACAGACTTGGAAGAATGATCACTGAATTATAAACATTTTGCATACTGTAACAGTTATACAGAATCACACAGGATCAAGCCTTACTCTTACATAGTGTGAACTACAATCAGGTCAGTAACCACATAAACAGTTGTTGCTGTTGTTAGGTGTCGTTGAGTCGGTTCTGACTCATAGCAACCCTATGTACAACAGAACGAAACACTGCCCGGTCCTGCGCCATTCTCATGATCATTGTTATGCGTGAGCCGTTCGTTGCAGCCACTGTGTCAATGCATCTCATTGAGGGTCTTCTTCTTTTTCACCGACCCTCTACTTTCCCAAGCATGATGTCCTTCTCCAGGAACTGGTCCCTCCTGATAACACGTCCAAAGTATGTGAGACGAAGTGTCGCCATCCTTGCTTCTAAGGAGTGTTCTGGCTGTACTTCTTCCAAGACAGACCTATTCACTCCTTTGGCAGTCCATGGTATAGTTAATATTCTTTGCCAACACCACAATTCAAAGGCATCAGTTCTTCTTTGGTCTTCCTTATTCATTGTCCAGCTTTTGCATGCGTATGAGGCGACTGAAAACACCAAGGCTTGGGTCAGGCGCACCTTAGTCCTCAAGGTGACATCTTTGCTTTTTAACACTTTAAAGAGGTCTTCTGAAGCAGATTTGCCCAGTGCAACAATATGTCTTTTGACTTCTTGACTGCTGCTTCCATGGGTGTTGATTGTGGATCCAACTAAAATGAAATCTTTGACAACTTCAATCTTTTCTCTATTAGTGGTAGTTACAGTCGTAACTATTAAAGCAAGATTTCATCTTTGGTAACTACCATTCTTTTCCCAGGTCAAGCAAGTTACTAAAAAAAAGTCGTCTCCCTTTGATCCCTTCATTTAATAAACATCTCCTGAAACACCTACTATGTACCAAGTATGTTCCTAGAAATATGTTACATTCTTTCATTTTCTATTTCCAATGGCATGATCAAATCACAGGCCTTCATTATCTTTTGTGTAGAAAACTGAAACTAGCTTGGTTACTCATACCTCTTTCTGCACTACCCACTCCAATTTACCCTACTGAAAAATTCATTTTCAGAAAGTATACAGCTCCAATCATATGACCAGGCTGCTCAGGACTCCTCTGTTTTCCAAAATGAAATGCAGTACTTCACCTCTGCATTCAAGGCCCTCTACAATATGGCCTCAATCTATCTTCTGGAATTAGCTCCCAACATTCCCTTACACATAGACTTTAGTCAACCAGGGTTAATTCCTGATCCCTAAACATTTTTTTTAATATCAAAGTAATACATGCCCATGGATAACAAATAAAATAGTAACAGAATAGCTTATGATGAAAAGCAAGTTTCCTCTCACCCTCATGCCTAGACCTTTTGAAAAATTAGTTCTTTCTGCACTTACTTTGATAAACTTAATTCCTTAACCTTAAGACAATGCCTACTGACTTAATAAAAATAAGAAAGATGAGGGGCTAACACATTATGCCCATTCTTTCCACCAGCTTCCTCCTCACTGTTTGGTAATTATATTGCTTTTACATAAACCTCTTGAATTTTCTGTCAGTTTTGGACAGAATCTCAAGTCCTCACTTTGTAAAAGAAAGCTAACAGTGCCCTTGCATTCTTCACCTCATACTTACTCCCACCCCCTTCCACCTGCTGCTAGCTATATTTTTACCTTTTTATTAAAGTTATTAAGAAAATTAACATTCTCTCTTGCAACCCACAGCCAAACCCTCCATGCTCTCTCCATAGCCGGATTTAAAAGTTGAAAGCCTATACAATGGCATCCTTATTATCATGACAATAAAAAATACGGTTCACATACATACTAGGTAGTACATGCAATTTGCTTATATTGGCCCATAACAATGACTCCCACGCCAATCCAAGGGGACTGTTACGTATTTTCCCCCCCTTTATGGATTGAATTGTGTCCCCTCAAAATATCTGTCAACTTTGCTAGTCCACGACTCCCAGTATTATGTGACTGTCCAACATTTTGTCATCTGATGTGATTTTCCTATGTGTTGTAAATCTTACCTCTATGATGTTAAATGAGATGGGATTAATGGCAGTTATGTTAATGATGCAGGACTCAACCTATAAAATTAGATTGTGTTTTAAGCCAACCTCTTTTGAGATATAAAAGAGAGAAGAGAAAGAAACAAGAGCCAGGAGAACAGCATGTCCTTTGGACCCGGGGTCCCTGTGCTAAAAAGCTCCCAGACTGGGGAAGATTGATGACAAGGACCTTCCCCCAGAGCAGACAGAGAGAGAAAGCCTTCTCCTGGAGCTGACACCCTGAATTTGGATTTTTAACCTCCTAGACCGTGACAGAATAAATTTCTCTTTGTTAAAGCCATCCACTTGTGGTA